CAGCGATTGAATTTAATTTTTTCGGATATCCTATTTACAATCTTACATGTAACCATTCCTTGTTTAAATAGTTTTGTAGAAAGGTGTTCTGCATATATCCTGCAATAAAATAGACTAATTTTAAAGAAGTTTTCCAATGATTAGTTCCAATCTAATCATCATATACACCGTTCTTTGGTAGAGCATTATTAACGTAGTGGTTTAAAATTTGGACTTAATCAAAAGGATTAGGTGAAAGCACGGTAAACCTTGCAGAAGTGGAAGTGAAATAGGATAATTAGATACATTTTACTTTGAAATAATCGTGGGCATTGAATGACCTCGCATAAGTTCTGTCAAATTCATTTTTGCAATTTTTCAGTATTGTAAACTTATACGGAATGCAGGAGTTTATAATGGGTGTTTGCCTATATACAGTTTTCGATATACTCCTTTCTACTAAAAAGTTGATTTTAGGTTAGCCTAGGCCTGCTCCTCCTGTTTCTGCTCGTATTCTTCTGCCTCTGCATTGCAGTTGCTTGGCGATATTACTCACCTATAATCATCGACTTTGCCCTTAAGGAGGAGCAAGAAAGAGTGCGTAGGAATAGCGAGAGGGATAAGCAAGATAAAGAAAAGAGTAAGTGTCAATATATTGTTGATTTTTCGTATAGGTTTGCGAAATCTCTGAAGTCTATATCTTGCGCGTTGATTCTCAATCTTTATAATACCCTCATATGATTTTCGCAGAAAACGATTAGTCATGGATGCCTTCAAGAATTTTCTCAAAAAGAAGAAAGTCGAAAAGCACTTCAAAAAAACTGGCCCAGGTCAGAAACTCGATTCCGGTTCAAGTGCACCTGCTCCAAGTATCACTGCCGGTGCTGCCCAAGTGAGTATTATCGGGTGAAGTACATTCATAAAAATGTATAAACCGAGTTGATTCGCTTAGGGTGGCGGAATTGATCGCATTGCTGCTTCCGATATTGCTGCTCAAGCCGCTCTCAAAAGACTTTACAAAGAACCCCCCAAAATAAGCAGTAGTCAGAAGAAAATCCAAATGATTGTAAGTTTTCTTTCGTAGATTTAGCTGTCAGTAATCTGAAGCTTTTGCAATTTGCTAATGACGGTCGTCAGTCATCACTTCGTCGTTTCTTCGTTTAGGCTCAACGTGAATTAGAGGAGGAGCGACGTCGTCGGGACCCAAACTATGCCATGGCACAGTTGGGCTTACAGGAAAAGAGGTAGTTGCAGTGGTTGCACATGGTCAATATAGGTGTATTACATGCGTTCTGAAGACTCTGTCCTTCCATGAGAGTCTCCTTTATCTCTTGACATGGGTTTATGTTGAAACTTTATGACAAATTGGTTAGTGAGGAACTAGATTACTAATTTGGGCGTGATACAACTTTCTACTGATATTTATCTACTTAATTTTGTTTATAAGAGATAGTTTAATGTGCGTGGGACGATAAATCTTGAAAGCAGTGGAGAACATTCTAGGCCCGGTCCTGAGATTCGTGAGTTTGAACATGCTGATGTCATCAAAGGCGTGTACTT